AATTTCTCATCGAGCTATTGTTAAAACAAATAAATTGGCATGAAATGACTATTCTAAAACAATTTTTTTCCTATATATAAACCATTTTATAGATAGTAATGCTGAGATTATATAAACTTCAAGAATTTGATGATGGAGCTTCTCTTACATACTCCTGACCTTTTGTGATATGTTATATAGATAGAAATTATAAACAGGTCCGGCTCACTCATCGGCAAGACCCGGTGCCATACAAAAAAAAAATTCTATCTTTAATAAAAAAAATTGGATATATTTCATAATCTATTTTGTATTTTATAGCTATTTGGACCTATTGTTTTTGTTTATTAATTTTGGGCTTCAATATTACCTTTTAAAATAGAATTTTGGGACCTTTACATATAGATATTTTATAAAATTTCAGCATAATTAAATAGTTAAATAATAGAAAAACTATTAATTTGGACCTTAAATTTGTTGGACCCAGTGCAAATGCACCAGTTGCACATGCATATAACCGGCCCTGATTAGAAAGAATAACATACTCAAACCATTAGCTAATCTCCTATAATATTATATATATACTCATATTTTGAGTTAAGACTCTAAAAGAATAGCAAAGAAAACCCACCCGAATAAGAGAAAAACAAACAAATAATTTTATTGAAGGAAAAAACATATAATAATAAAATAAAGTTAATGTTGTACAAATTTGTAGAAACAAAAACTTTACTAAATTAAAGATATGGAGTAATATTAATGTTGTGCATGTTTTCTGAGAGGGAGTACTAAAACAGTCTGGTTTGATGTTGTGGCTCGTCAATGCTCTCATTCTTCACACTGGAACATATTAATTTAAAACCTTGCACCTAAAATGAAACACCATAATATATATTTCTTTTTATCTCGAGATTCAAGTATTCAACCATTGTCTTTGTTTTAACCTGCTAGACGTTACCAGTAAATTAACACTACAAGAAAACATAGCAAATTCCGACAAACCAAATAGTCGGAAATTCGTCGGAAATGGATGTTTCCGACGAATTTCCGACTACACCAAGTTTGTCGGAATTCTCTGGTCGGAAAACAATATTCGTCGGAAATTTCTGTCGAGATGATTTGTCGGAAAATTCGTCGGAAATATTTGTCGGAAAATCGTCGGAAATATTCGTCGAAAGCCCGTCGGAAAGGTGTCGGAAATGTCCGTCGGAATAGCGACGGAAAATTGCCGACGATATCCCGACGGCATATTCCGACGCCATTCCGAGGAGATTCCTACAAACGACGCCGCAAGATCGAGTACGATTCCGACGATTTTCCGACCACAAATCGTCGGAAGTTCGTCGGAACGTTCCGACGAATTTCCGACAAAATATAATATAATAATATATTTAATAGTTTCCGACGAATTTCCGACAAAATATAATATAATAATATATTTAATAGTTTCCGACGAATTTCCGACAAATCGTATTTTTTTATTATTTTCCGATGAATTTCCGACGAAATATTATATTTTATTAAAAAAATATATTTATATTTTATTGTTAATTAATATAATTAATTAAATTAAATAATATTAATTTAATTTAATTGTAATAATTCAATAAAAACATAATTAAAAAAAATAAAATTCACCACATAATATAAAAAACATAATTAAACATTAATAAGTTCTTAAACAACTAAAAATTATTACAAACGCGAATATTATATATTATCAAATAGAGTGTCAACGTTATTTGTTTCATTTTGATTTCCGGGTTGATCTTGGCGAGAAGGCGGAACGATGTCGGGATGAAGACGGGCCATCATATCCATCCAAAACTTACAATCTTTTAATTGAGTCTTCAACTCGATGATTTCGGCTGCGTTTGCTTGACAATTCACGTGTGCATGTGAATACGACGAACTTCCGCCCATGTCTTCGTCATACGGAATGGAACCGTATCCAAATCTACGTCCTTTTTTAACTTCAACTTGCTATTATAATGAAAATGTTGTTAGGAAATAAAACATATTATCTAAATTATAATATTTTAATTACTATTACTTACCGATCGGAAAATATCGTTTTTTTCTGCTTGGGTGAGTTGATAATCATCGGGCGTGTCTGATTGTTGACTCAATTGTGTGAGTTTCTCTTTCTCCATCTCCCGACATCGACGAGCTATTGCCTCAGCTTTTTTATCAACAAATGTCCCGTCCGATTTCCGTTTGTGAGTCTCCTCCATGAATGTCACCATATCGGGATACTCACCGGTTTCGGGATTACGCTTGCATTTAAAATATTTATTAGTTAAAAATTTACAATAAAATTTATTATAATGCAAATTGAAATGTAAAAAATTTAAATTTTTATTTACCATTTTTTCCTTTTTCCGGACATATGGCATTGATCCACAAGTATGTTTAGCCATGCCATAGCCTCCGCGTTCACTCTTGCGATTTTGAGAATTAGTTTCACTACGGGACTTATTTTGCTCTTGTAACCAATATGCAATAAGCCCTTGCCAAACGTTTTCTCGCATCCATTTTGGCTTTTCTTTCCCGTTAAGCCATTTCTTTTTCCATCCATAAACATAATCCAATAAACGTACCCCACATATCTCCTCAAATTTTTCTTGTACTTCGCCCGTAAGACCATAATCCCAATTAAATTTTTGCTACAATGTTAAACAATTTAAAATATATATATTTTTAGTGTTGTAAAATTTTAAAATTTAATTTTTTTAGCTACAATTATAAACAAAGTAAATAAAGCATAAATTTTATTTAAATAAACTAACCGCAAATGCCTTAAACCAACGTTTCTTTGTGTCTCCGGAGACCGACGTAAGATTCGGAGCGGGATCGGGGAAATCGCTCTCCATGATTTTCTTGATAATCTTTGTGAATCCTTTATCGAATCTATACCTATAATTACCAAATTATTTAATTAAGATTATCTACGTAAAACTATAAATTAAATAATACAATTTCTTACCAAGTTGTTCCGTTCATACGGCTTGGGTCGATCTTTTTCAATTTATCTCGACCCGGAGCACGGAGTAATTGGTCTAGCGTCATAGAATCGAGTGGATTTGCATCATCATTCCGTGTAGGCATCGCCAATGGTTCCGTCTCCGGAACTTCCGTGTCCTCCATGGGAAAATCCTCCGGTGGTTGGGTTTCGGAACCAAGATTCAAATCCGGAGCAAACCCACGTTCATTACAATACGCCATATATCCACTCCACGATCCATTATCCATCTCCTTAATCAAAAAAAAAATTTATAATTAGTCTTTTGAATTTTATAAACAAAATTATGAAGAAAATAAAACTTAACATCTTACCTTATAACAATTTCCGACGTTTGAAGTGAGAAGTGAGAATTTTATAAACAAAACGTTTGAAGTGAGAAGTGTGAGAAGTGTGAGAAATCTGTGAGTCGTATATATATAACAATTTCCGACGACCATATTTGTCAGAAATTCGTCGGAAAAAAATGCAGCGGGAATTTCAAACCAATTAACTTTCCCTCTACATTTACGAGACTCGCGAGAAATTAATGTAACCAATTTCCGACGAATTTTCCGACGAATTTTAAAAATTTGTCGGAACATTTGTCGGAAAATGTTACCGCGAGATTTAATTTCCGACGAATGTTCCGACAAATTTTTAAATTTCGTCGGAACGGAAATTGGTTACATTAACTTCTCTGACGCCCGGGAAAAGTAAACGGCAATAAATTTAAGACCCAATCTCCGACGGAATATCCGACGACCATATTTGTCGGAAATTGGACATTAAATCTCCCGAGTCTCGTAAATGTTCCCGCTTCAGTATTTCTGAAAGAAAAGTAAAAACTATAAATTAATTCAATATATCCTAATTCCGACGATTTTCCGATGGATAAAATAATGACGTCGGAAAATTCGTCGGAAACTGGGTATATTAATTTAAATAATTTTAATTATTTTGTGTCAAGTATTTCTTTAATTAAATATATCTTGTTTTGTATCAAGATATATTTAAGCGGTACAAATTTAATCTCAAACGTTTCATACGACAGTTCCGATGAAAGTATGAATAAAATAAAATATTAGAATGGTTTAATTATTATAAAATAGAAACAGATTTTTTTAACAAATAAATTATAATGCATATAATATGATAAATTTAAAAGCATTTAAACAGATTTTATAAAATATATATATAAAACTAAAGACGATATATTTGATTTACTCAGAATCGGAAGAATAATCTGAACTAGCAGAATCATTTTGATCTTCAAACTCTTCTCCATCCTCTTCGTCTTCCGCATTTTCCCATATCTGTTCGACTTCTATGTTCTCAATATCAACGAGGGGAATGTCACCGACAGATTGATCTACTTGCGTAATTTCGTTTACTGCAATTTGTTGTAGCGGTTCCTTTTCTTTCACCCCATCAACTCTGCTTCTTGGATTTATTTGATGAGCCGTAATCCATGGATATTGTCGAACACCTACTTGTGGATATGGTATGTAGCAAACCTGTGCTGCCTGAGATGCAAGTATAAACGGATCGTACTTTCTTAACTGCTTAGTCGAGTTGATCTCTGTGACACCATACTTTGTAAGTCTAACACCTCTTCCAACTCTAGGATCATACCAGTCACACTTGAAGAGTATACATTTCAAGTTTATGACTCCCGGATATTCAACCTCTAATATATCAGTAATTTCACCATAGTAGTCTATCGAATCTGTACGAACAACGACCCCATAATTCACTGTTTTTCTGTTAGTAATCCCTGGACGTTTTATGAAAACGTAGCCTCGAGTGCAATACATCGGGTATGCCATTGCCCTTGATAGAGGACCTCCAACCAACTCTTCAAACCATGTTGGATAGTGTTCCTGCCTACTTGCGGCTGATTTGATCTGCAAAACATACAAGCAAATGTACGATTTTAATAAATAGTAACCATGTTCATAATATATGTAAAATCAACGGTGAAAACTAACATAATATTTTAACCAATTAGCATATTGTGTCTGCTTCATTTCCTCTTTTCGAGCCTCTGTCATGTTTGGATACGCTCCAGACACTTGATCATCAAAGATCCTACAGACATTCGTTTTTTTGTATAAGTAATTATTTTGCAAATAATATATGCGTATTATAAGGTATGAATTTTGTTTCTTACTTCTCGAATGGTATGACATCGTCACAGTTCCGGAGGATGTAAGTATGAATGTGATTAAATTCTTGATCTATAAACCATACTTCTCTTTTCTTCCCACTCAGTCTCCCGATTTGAGAAAAGATATCTGGGACAGATGTATGGTAAAAAGGCCGCACACCCCCATCATCGTACCTACCTGGTTTTCTTGCTTTTGTTTGGACATTTGGAGCAAAATAGTAGGCCGAAAAATGAGAAGTCTCCTCGTTTATGCTTTGAGCTACTATTGATCCCTCAACTTTGCTAAGATTTTTAACTTTTTTCTTCAAATGGAACATAAAACGCTCAAAAGGATACATCCACCGGTACTGAACTGGACCGCCTAGTGCTGCTTCACGAGGTAGATGGATAGGCAAGTGCTCCATGACATCAAAGAATGATGGGGGAAATAATTTCTCCAAATTGAAAATGATAATCGGGATATTATCTTCAAGTGTATGTAGTCCTTCGACTGTTAGAGATCTTGAACACAAATCTCTAAAAAATGCACCTATACCTGCAATTTAATTAATAACTGTAAACAAAAAAAGAATATATACATGAATAATAACATATTAAAATAATTGAAAGATAAGTTGTTTGTACCTGCAATTGCTTCATGGACAACATTTGGTAGGAGTTGTGTAAACGCAAATGGTAGTAAACGCTGCATGAAGACGTGACAGTCATGACTTTTCATCCCAGCTAATCTACCACTGTGATCATCAACACAATATGATAGATTTGATGCATAGCCATCAGGAAATTTAACATCATCAATTATCCACTGAAAAAACTTGGTCTTCTTGCTTGCATCTAATCTCCATATAGGAATAGGACCTACTCCGTCTGCAAGCAAATGGAGATCCTCGCGCGCACATATATCGGGTAAATCCATTCTGGATTTGACATTATCTTTAGTCTTACCCGCGACATTTAAAATGGTGTTAATTATATTGTCAAAGAAATTCTTCTCAATATGCATAACGTCAAGACAGTGGCGGAGTAGATGATTTGTCCAGTACGGTAACTCCCAGAAGATACTTTTTTTATGCCAATTATGATGTTCTCCATATCCATCAATTCGGACATGGCCATTACCCCCTACCGATGCTGTACAGTCAACATCAAAATCACGAAATTGATTCAATATATAATCACCATCATACTCAGGTGGCGGTGGATCACGGATACTCTTGTTCTTGCGGAACAACGTCTTACTACGACGATATGGATGATTTCGTCTTAGAAAACGACGATGACAATCAAACCAACTTGATTTCCGGCCATGTCTTAGTTGGAAGGCATCTGTATTATCTTGACAATATGGACATGACAGTCTTCCATGAGTTGTCCAACCCGATAACATGCCATATGCGGGAAAGTCACTAATAGTCCACATCAATACAGCACGCATGTTAAAATTTGTCTTTGTGGAGACATCATATACCCAAACCCCTTGGTACCATAACATTTTTAACTCTTCTATAAGCGGCTGTAGGAACACATCAAGTGAACGACGAGGGTGGTTTGGACCAGGAATCAAAATGGTTAAGAAAAGAAATTCTCTTTTCATGCAAAGGGAAGGTGGGAGATTGTAAGGGGTGACTATTACTGGCCACAAAGAATATTTTCTACCTGACTTTCCAAATGGATTGAATCCATCCGTGCATAAACCAAGATAGACATTCCTTGGTTCATTAGCAAAGACTGGATATGTAGAACAAAAATGTTTCCAGGCCGATGCATCCGATGGATGTGAAATCTCCCCGGTGAACTCATGTTCAGCGTGCCATCGCATACCCTCCGCTGTCCGATCTGACTGATACAACCTCTTCAACCTATCAGCCAAGGGCAAATACCACATACGCTTATATGGTATTTTGTTTCGCCCACCAGTAACCTGAAACCTTTCAGCACCACAGAAACGACATTGAGACATATTTACATTATCTCCCCAAAAAATCATACAATTTTCTCTACACACGTCAATCATTTGGAATGGTAAACCTAGCCCAGATACCAATTTTTGGATTGCGTTGTATGAAACTGGCGATAAATTATCTTCCGGTAGATAATCGTGGATAAAATCAGCCCACGCATCAACACAATCTTCACTTAAATTGTAGTCTGTTTTGATGTTCATCATACGTGTTGCGGCGGATAAAGGAGAATGACCCTCTCTGCATCCTGCATATATCGGATGATTTGCAGCATCTAACATATCGAAAAATCCCTGTGTTTCTAAGTTGGGTTCCTCCGCAACATTAGTATTTTCTACGTTATCATGAAATTCACCACTACCACTTCCAATTACATTATCTTCTTCCTGGTGAATATGCTCATCGCTAATTATAACGTTTTCATCTCTTCTTTCACGACTACTACTAGGACCCGATCTAAAATCCTCCCCGTGAGAAAACCATATATAATATCCCGGTGTAAAACCTCCCCAATATAAATGATTCCAAACAATGTCTTTTGCAAGAAAATGATCATTACAACATTTGACACAAGGACATGCCATAATACCTTCGATACGCGTCATTTCTTGATTAGATGCAAACTGCATGAATTCCATTAAACCTTCCTTGTACTCCTGCCTCATAGCTCCGGTCTCATCATCTAATCGATTATACATCCACTCTCTAATTTTATAAATATTATGAGAAGACATTTTTTTTTCCAAGATTTTTTTGTGTTTCTGTTTTTTTTTTTTCAACTTTTTTCTTGTGTCTATGATTCTTTCGTTGTCTAGTATATATATAAAACTTTTCCGACTAACATTTTGTCGGAAATTCGTCGGAAATTCTAAAGTGGTTACCTTTAATATTTCCGACTATTTCCGACAAAATGTCGTCGGAAGTTTGTCGGAATTCGTCGGAAATCTAAGTGGTTACCTTCAATATTTCCGACGAATTTCCGACAAAATGTCCGACAACATTCCGGAATTCGTCGGAATTGCTAAAGTGGTTACCTTTAATATTTCCGACGAATTTCCGACAGATCTTCCCGACGACATTTTGTCGGAAATTCGTCGGAAATATTAAAGGTAACCACTTTAGATTTTCCGACAACTTTTCCGACTAATTTTTTCGATCAAGTTGTCGGGATTACGTCGGAACATGTGCAGTGAATAATCACGTGTTTACCTCGTTGTTTCCGACAAATTTTCCGACAAGTTTCCGAGCAGTTTCCGATGACATTGGATTGTCGGAATTTTCCATGGTTTCCGACAAATATTTCCGACGAAATTCCGACGAATTTTTAATCGTCGGAAAAGTTTTTATGTTTCCGACGAATTTCCGACGAAATATTATTTTCTTAGAAGTTTGTCGGAAATTCCCCGGAAATCCGTCGGAATAATTCCGACTAAAAATTTCGTCGGAAATGTTCGTCGGAAATTGCTATGTTTTCTTGTAGTGTAAAATGAAGTTGATTTAGATTGTCAAAAACAGAAGAAGCTTTAAAATAATTATATTTCGACAACATCATTATAATTCCATATTTTCTCTCTAATATATTAAAGATGTGGAAGGAGCCTCACGAACAATACCCCTCTATAGCTTTAAGCAGCTTACGTTCATGGCATTTCCCTTCCCTCCACCATCTTTTATTCTTAGACTCCTTAGAATAGTGAGTGACTTGCAGGGTATTGAACCATAGCTAATTCTAAAAAAAAACAGGGATTAAAATCAAAAACATGTTTGACCGTATTTTAATATTAGAATATACTATTCCTGCCTTTGTTTATAAAATATTAAATTGAAATTTATTTAGTTCATATTTTTGAATATGTGCCTTTTCTGACCCTCTCAAACTCTTATTGAATAGATTTAAAAACATCTTCGAAACAAGGCTCAGGAAACACGTACAGATACAACCTCATAACTAAATAGAGGCTCGAGTTATTAAGAGGCTAGCGCTTCTGAGAACCATCAAGTTTTACAATGACAACAAAACACAATAAATCAGATAGCTGAGACCTCACATAATTTAAGGGCTGGTCAAAGTTAGTTTAACTACACAATAAATGATTGTGTGTGTAATTGGTGAGCTAGGTGTGTTTATTTTTACAAGTGTATTTAAATGTTTCATCTGTAACTTTTGCAACATGATAATGTCTACCGGCGCGAGACCAATTTTTTTTTTTTTGGTATCTACTTCATGAACATTAGCCTAGCTGAGAACTCACATTAAAAGTAGTGTATTTGGGAGGATATATTATTTCTCGTTGAATGTACTCGTCGTGAAAATTAACTTACTGTAAAAATGTTCGGTATTCGAAAGGAAATACATTAAACGTACAAATTTCATCCAAGCTTGGCTTTGACCTATCAAAAGAAAAAAAGAAGGAATAAAAAATCACTATATAATTGGACCTTTTTCCATACATAAATCCAATGATTCAGTTGCAACTTCTCCATTTATCAGGCTAAAATCAAGATCTATTCCCTGAGAGACATCTTAAAATAGTTAAACGTGAATATTTAGGTTGAGATCCTGGAAAATGGCTAAAGTAATCACATATTTTAAATAAAAGAACCCTAGAAGTTCGTGGATACAAATGTAAGTTGTTGATTTGTAGAGAATTGAATACACTTCCCATTCTTTTTGAATATATCATGTTCTCCTACAATCCTACAGTTCACCATGGATCAATACTTGCAAAGAAAATGATATAATGTATAGGTTTTTTCTATCCCGTACATATTAGCAATTTGTGATTTTAAAGAAAACATTGAGAGGATATAATAGCTCATGCTTACTTGTTAGTTGCATTGGCATAACAATAACCCCTTCACCAAAGTGGAACCCTAAACTCCATTTTTATGGAATCTGAAAAGAAAAAAAAATAGAGACCGGAGATAAAGGTGAACGAGCTTTGCCATACATTTGTGGACTGGATTCAAAATATACTATTACAATCTGAAAAGACCAACAACAATATAACACATGTTGACGGTGAAGGAAGAAACCCAGACTACAAACCTGGCTTTGATGGCACCAACAAAAAAAAAGAAAGAAAAGCTCGTTTCGCAACCATCGCCAGAGCTCGCACCAAGTCAGTTAGTGGCTGGCCGATGATCGCCAACGATTCTATATGCATTCAAAAGCAGGGAAGATCTATACGAATCGAGACCACTAAGCGACATAACCACTGAAATTACATGTAGGCGTAGGATGATGGAGGTGAATAAATAAAAAAAAATTATAACGAATTTGAATTAAATAGAAGATGATAAAATATGAAGACGAAGAAGTTGGAAAGATTGGCAAATAAGATTCCGATAAAGAAGACGAAGGGCATGAATCGGATGGAAGATGAAACAGGTAAAACTGAAATGTCATTAATTGATTCATTCAGTAAAAGTTGGAACAAATAGAGTCTAATTACTTTTAATGGGTTTTTTTCCTATTTTTTTGTAAATACACAATAATAGGTGCTGATGTGGCAGATGTAGGAGCGCTGACGTGCACTCTCATGGAGAGAGTTCACCTCATTTCATATGCTCCTTCCGTTTCGTTTTAGTTGTCGTTTAAGGTTTTCTCACACAAATTAAGAAAAGCATTAAATTTTCTGTTTTACGCTCTATTAATATATTTTATAAAAAAATTTTATTGGCCGAAACATTAAAACAGTAGGGATAAAACTGGAATTTTCACCAAACATTTGCATCGAAAACCTAAAACGACAACTATTATGAAACAAAATTTTAACTCTAAAACGACAAGTAAAACGAAACGGAGGTAGTATATGATTCTAACCACTGTATAGAGATTTTTTCTTCAGTGACAATGAATAATTTCTAAAATCTTCGACTTTAAACAATAGATCCTCCCCCACCCGGCCACCCCAAATACCAGATGGCATATATAATGAAAATATAACGAACAGAAAAATTCAACAATCCACAGCTATGTGTTATCAATTAAATTATAAACCTAGTAAAATATGAATTATCTACAAAATTGAGGAAAAGAAACATAAGTTCAGGAACTGCCGGCAAGAACTTGACGACAACAACAATACCTTGTTAAGCCCTTGTCAACTCTTCACTTTGATCTCTCCAAATTATGTAAAAAGATGATACGCATTACACATATATACACATATACAATGTCTACTTTAGTTAAATACCTTTATTATCATTAAATAAAATATTAAATTTAAGAAATAGGTAAAGATATTTATTGATTGCAAATCCATTGAAATTAAACTCTTAAATGGATTCTAACAAATTAAATTTTGATAGATGTTGCAAAATATTCATAACTACAGTTATAGTCACTTTTTTTATCATAGTATTGATTAAGTAAACTCTTATATGTGTTCATTAGTACAACTAGAGAAAAATCCGGGCGTATATATTATAATTTAAAGTTTAGTTTTAGTGTATTTAGTTTCTTCAGTATATATGTTAAAAAACTGACAATTTTTTTACTGTAATTATATTTACAAATTTTATTTCATTATAGTTTATTATTATTATGATTAGTTTATATATAGTATTACCGTCATATATGTCATTCTTGTAGTGCTCTACAAGAGCAATACATCCATACTCTAATTTTCTTTTATAAAAAGAAAATAAAATTAGAGTCTTGACATTTTTTCCTTTTGGGAAATAAAACAAAATCTTCATTGAATAGAAAACGATATTAACCACTTGACCCCGCCTTCTCCACCGGAGTTCGACTTCAGTAAATCGCGTTACCCCGCGTAGTAGGGATTGGCTATGAATCGGGCCTTATCGATCCAAAGATGTTAAAAAAAAAAAAAAAAAAAAAACGATATTTATCTAACTTTTGTAATAAGAAAAATATATACTTAATAGAAAAAGAAAAGAAAAGAAAAAGAGTTTCATCATTATAAAATATATTACCTTAAGTTGATTGGGATCTTTACCAAATGAGCTCAAGCTCTCGTGCAAAGTCTTTTTGTCGGCCGACCACAAAGGTGATGTGGTCTTTGTCAGGGATGACGTGGACAGTGGCACGTGGCACTTTGCTCTTGACACTGTAGCTACACTCCACAGGAATGAGCTCGTTCTTGCCACCGTGGAAGATGGCAACGTCGCAGTCCACGTGGTCACGGACATGGTCGAGATACGACTCGAGCTTGGCTCCTGACCCGAAGATGATGTTGTGTAATGTGTGAAATGACCCATTATGTGTGTGACATAAGAGGTTGTGATCAGTGTTAATGGAGACCATTGGATAATGCAGAGGTTGTGATCAAAGAAGCTCTCAGTAAACTGATGGCCTGCAATGCAAACAAACGTAGATTCAAAAGTTAAAATAAGGTAAGATTTTCTTATTAATCAGAAGAGTATAAACAAGTAGAGTGTATCATCATACTTGAGCTTTTCCAATACTAATTACTTGCTCCTCAATATCACTGATATTCATTTGCAACTTGCTTAATAATGAAATTGTTGAGGATGACTTCATAGGTGTGACAACCAGATCATCTGACACTATGAAATTCGTTTCTTGCTTCACAATTCGAATATTCCCAGAATCTGAAGATGAAACCATTGGAATTAACTTGGCGATTCTTTCACCTTCGGCAAGCACATTCTTGTTGACTTTTTTGGAGAGCTTGCTACTATTATAACTGCGGCGGGAAACCAAGCATTCATATTCTGGCATTTCCTGGATGACAATATCGAGAAGCTGCGTACGACAAGAATTATAGTAATAAGGAAGAATGCAATTGAAAACACTAGTGGCTTCTTTGCTCTGCTCAAAACCAGGTCCCGCCTTTCACACATTTTAGTGAAACGTTTGTATTGGACTTTGAATTTTCGAGGCCCATTTAGAGAAATTTTTTTTTTAGACCCCACAATTAGTGAAATAGGTGTTAAAATTAGTAAAATAGGCCTCAAAATTAACAAAAAAAAACACCATAATTAGCAAAAAGGCCTTGTAATTAGCAAACAATGTTCATAATTAGCAAAAAAAAGAAATTAACAGTTTTTACTTTTCAAAAAGGCCCCAATTTTTTTTCGTATTCGGTCCCGGATTTTACTGGACTGGCCCTGCTCAAAACTCAATTCTTTTACGCTTCTGCACAAATTTCCAACACACCCCATAGTCACTTTGTCAACAGAGAGTTCCCGAGCAAACTCAAGCGGTATAGCGAGAAAAGTGAAAAGAAAATCAACAAATTCTTCTCTGCACTCAGCGTATAAAATCATCCGGTTTGACTTTCTAACATAAACTTTCAAAGTTAGAACAAGTTCATTTGCTTCTCCTCCCCCAACTCTAGTTTCTTGTTGCACCAATGGTGTGAACATTTTATGTTTCATTGTCGTACAATGTTTCCTGAGGAATGTGTCCTCTGGATTAGCACCATCAAAGTCTACAATCCTCAATCGTAGGATTATTCACAACCTTCACAAAAGTGTTTTAGACATGGATGATGATAATTTCGAGACTCAAGCTTGTAAGAACTTGTTGTTGTATCCAAGGAGTATAAAGGAGAGTGATTACACAAAGCTAAAGCTAAACGTAGATGACACTGAGGCAAGCAGGTTCATTGCCTGACAAAATTTTATATCATTTGAGTTATATGCTGTAAGGTATACAGCAATATCAGTACCTCAAGGTCATGTAGTTGTGGCAGCTCGATGACTCGCGAGTTTCAGTTTGAAGAAGGAGAGGAAGTTGATGGAGTATTTCTCAGCTGTAGAACATCGTTTATCATCACCGATGATCTCAATGTGGCATTGAACTCTATGGGTCTTGTACTGAATGTTCTCAATGATCATGGCTATGATGGTTTTGATAAACTGCAAGAAATGCTTATTGATGTTGGTTTTGAAGAGGTACTACTTGAATTTCATTGACATTATTTTTGAATGTAGGTGTTTAGTCACTTCAAAAACTCCCTTCAAGAATGAATAAATAAGAATGTGAATCATAGGATTTTTTAACAAGTGAGGAAAATTTAACTTTGAAGTTATTTAACCATGATTTTAAGCTAATGTCTAAAAACACCCTTTTCGTATAATTTACTTTACATCCTCCCCTACTGGCTATTAGTGAGGAAAATCATAGGATTTAACTTTTAAGCTATTTAATTATGATGTTTTCTAGAACTTTAGGTTTAAGGAGTAACTAGATGATGTCCCGTACTATATAAGAGATTAATAAAAATTAAAAATTTCTTTCTTTTCAATTCTATGCTTGAATTTTGAATTGAGTTTAATTTTTTTTTTAAATTGGCTTTTATATATCATTTGGACCTACAAGACCCTCACAAATTTCAATTCTTACAATGCAGGGTACTATGACTTACTGGAATCAAACTCAGGTTGGAAAGACCGAAAACTTGGATTGTTAGCCGCTTAAGAAAATGTCCCCATAGATATTATTTTTTTCAATTAAATTCTTTGATGATTTTTTTTTTAAACTCATCTTAGATGACTTTCTTTATCAAAAGTTTTTTTACACTTAAATAAATTTTAGAAGTATCAATTTCCTTTTGATATATTAAAATACTAAATGTTTGGTAACAAATAATTACTCGAATGGATTTTAAGAAGAAATAAAATTGGAAATAAAATAAGGCAGATGATCCATTAGTTTGAAAGACTCTTTTTTTTTTTCTTGTCATTCGAAATTAAATAAAACTCAAAAGAGCCAATCCTGATGAATGTTGTTTGAAAGACTATTATTCTTTCTTATTTTAATATTTTTAACTAAGAATTTCAGGAAAATTAGAATAACCACAAAATTCTTAGCGTAGGCAGACAAGGATTGAAACAAGATGGTCTAAACCAGCGTGGGGACGGCTCAAATGTAATATGCACACCTCATGGACAAAGGATATTCATCACTGTGGAGGAGCGTGGTTACTACGCAACCATGTTGGGGATGCTGTTCTACATGCCCGTGATGCATTCCTTCCGATGTTTAATAGGGAAGCTGCGGAATTACATTGCATTTTATGGTGTTTACAAAGCCTCCATCAAGTTCATGTGGATTCTTGTGAGATTTGGTCAGATTGCACAGCAGCTATACGTGCCTTAGCTCAACCGAATGACTGGCCAAAATATCGATCCATCCTCTATAAAATTGTTCAGGTAATACGGGTGATGCGGGATGTGTCTTTCCCCATTTCTTCACTGAAAGCCAATTCTTTGGCTAGGGATATTGTCTGTAGTGTCACACGAGATGGACGTTTTAACTCATACTTGGCGAGTGGAGGACCAGCTTGGTTACATAATAGGATTGAGGAAGAACGAAGACGCAACAATTAAACTTCCACGGGACCTCCACTTTCTTCGTTACGTTAGAGACGCCGGTGCATTGGACGTGTTTGGCTACGGTTATTTCCTCATTGGCTTTACTCTGTTTTTGTATTGCTTCTGTTTTTGGCTTTGGTTTTAATTCTCTCTGTTTCTAAACTCTGAAGTTTCTTTTATATTGCAATGAAAGACGTTAAAAAAAAAAAAAAAACACAAAATTCTTTCACCTGCTCTTGTTAATATATTTGAAGACCTAGCTGCTTGCTGTTAGTAACCTCAAAACATCAAGAAATTGTGTGCCACAATTGAAGTAACGAGGAATCATGCATTTGCACAGATTCCAAATATTAGCATTGTCAATGATAGACAATGGACCAAATCTGTGGATTCTTAGGATCGCCTTGTCCGTCTTTTTAACAAATACCTTCAAAGCTATAATACTGGTTTTGCAAATACACTTACTTGAACCAGCGGAGTAAAACGTTTATGCTCCAAGAGAGACGTGGAGATGGCTCCATCAACCAATAGTATCTTCGTCCAAAGATGTTGGAACATAAGGAAGATGGTTGAGATTAAGTCTATCTTCAAGAGCATGATCAGATGTCAACTGCGAAATGGGTTGAAGGCTTCTTTCTGGTTTGATTCCTGGACAAATCTTGGGCCCCTTATTGACATTTTCGGTGCGATGGGTCCTAGGGAGTTGCGTATTCGACGAGACGCTACTGTTTGGGAGGCTACTAGAGATGGTCAATGGCATTTCCTAATGCACGATCTCTCCCTGCGGAGAAGCTGCAGGTATGTTTGTCTAATGTGGACACACCTTCTCCTTCTAGAGGCTCTGATTGGTATCAATGGAAGCAGCCATCTGGTACCTTCTCTGAAAAATTCTCTTCCAAGGGAACATGGATGCAGATTAGACAAGTCTCTCCTCATGTGCCTTGGTGTAAAGCTGTTTGGTTTAAGGAAGCTGTCCCAAGGTTTTTCTCTTTTATCCAATGGTTAGCTGCGCAGGAAGACTCAGCAAAAGAGACAGATTGCGGCAGTGTGGAATGACTGTCCCTGCTGCTTGTGTTCTTTGTGCTGCAGGTTTGGACTCTCATGATCACTTATTTTTTGAGTGTGAGTTTTCAAGATCGGTTTGGGTTTCTTTTGCGGAAAAGATTTCTCCAAACCCTCCAATCTCTTTATCGTCAGCCTCTTTGTGGGTCTTGAGTGTCCAGTCCTCTCCACCACACTTTGCAAGTAAGATTTTAAAACTCCTTCTTCAAACCTCTATCTATTTGATTTGGAAAGAGCGGAACAGAAGGGTCTTCTCAGCCGAAGCTAATACCATCTATGCTACTAAGTCTCTTGTTGACCGCACTATGCACAATCGTCTCATCTCCTTCTCGCTGGAGGATACCGCTACCAGAATTTCTCTCCTTGGTTTTTATTTTGGTTGTATCAATAGCCCACCTTAGGTGTGGCAAAGCTCCTATGTATTTATGTAAAATGTTCCATTAGTCTCTCTTTATAAGAGCTAGGTGTGTTTTTGGGGTTTTCATTGTACAATGTAAACCTTTTTTATTTGGTATAAAGTTTAACATTAAACAAAAAAAAAAAAAGTTTATGCTTCCTTGTCATACAAGGTTTCCCCAGGAACGTGTTTGTCAAGGGAAGTGAATAAACACCCTAGCAAAGTCTTATGTGAGGATTATATTTAAGAAAATGTGAATGGCAAGGCCAAGTACCTCTTCAGAACCAACGGTGAAGAAGGCCAAGTAGCTTATCAAATCCTGCATACCCAAAATTACTGAGCGAATTGAAGACAAGACCATTAACGTTTAACGACACTTTCAGTCCTGCAATACTTATAGTTCAGAAATAATGAATGATAAGACAGAATAAAATGTATCTGGATGCTTAAATTAAAGCCATAAAAATATGTATAAAAAAGAAAAGCATCTTGAAGAGAAAAAAAAAAAAAGAACATCAAACTCAGATTCAAATTAATTATATACACACAAAAATCCATGTAAAAATAGAAGAACTGAAAGTGAAAGTGTGAAACAGAATCAAAAATAGTTTATGGCGTTCCCGTTTAGTCAATGGCGGATCCAGAAGCTATTTTTACCTGGGACACAATTACGTTTTAGCATAAAAATTAAAATCTGAAAACCGATCGGAAAAATCCGACTTCAAAATCGAATCGAATATTCATAAAATTTCTAACAGATTCTAAATGTTTTGAACGGAATTATCCAAACCAAACAAAAAATTAAATATTATACCCTAAAACCCGAAATAAAATTATATATCTAAAAATATTAGTTACATTTAGTTATAATTTTATAACCAAAAATACCAAATTAAAAAGAAATATCTAAATAACCTAGATATCCAAAAATCATTAGTTATATTTATCACAATTGTACAATTGTTTAACCAAATTTTATTAAAATTGAACCAATTTTTATTATAATTGAACAATTATTAGCTTTTTTTCTTTTTTTTCGACCGATCCGAGTCCAACATATATCCGAACCGCATAGTCATAAAACCTCAACGGATAATAAACTATCCTATCCAAATTATCCATATCCGATCTAAAACCCAAAAGCACAAACTTAGACACAACCTTAATGAATTTGATAAATTTTCAGAAATTATTTGTACATGAGACATAACCTAATAAATTTGAGAAAATTTATTAGCTTTAATACATATATTAGTTGAGCAAATGAAACAAAAAGAAAACAAAATTGAGAAATGAGTATGGGGCACGTGCCCCACCTCTCCTCTACCTACGTCCGCCCCTGCGTTTAGTGAACGTGAGGCAAACTCCTTCAAGATTATTCAGATTGTCGTTTTTTATGGCGTTCACGTTTCTTCCTTAGGCTTCCTTGTGAGTTGTGACCATTAATTACTTAATGTAGAAGACTAGGTCTAGTACACCATCACTGGATCAATTAGATATACAATCACATTCTTGTGGAAGCATATGACTCTCAACAGGCGAGGAAAATTTGAAAACCGAATCGTAGTAACTTTCTTTAGGAATTAAACATGGAATGTTTTTTTGTAGTTTTTTTATTTATTTTTTTAGTGATGAGGAAATGCGAATATCAAGCAGTCGGTTACTAGCTACATGCATAATAACTAGGAAGCTCAAACAAATTGTCACCTGACGCTTGTCTACGCAAATTTCTGAAACATTCGAAGATGGTGTTGTCTTTAGAGAATGACTATGCAAACTTAAGAGGAAGAACCAGGAAAATTATAAGAGAATCGATATAAGAATCTAAGAAATTTACGCAATTTTTTTGTAAGCAGGGATTTTAAAGAAAGGCGAACAAAAAATACATTAATAAACGTGAAGTAGTATG